AGGCAGGCAGGCAGGCAGGCAGGCAGGCAGGCAAAAACAAGGAAACTAGTTTTGTACACAAACTTCCTTTCCCTTATATAAAATGGAGAATCTGATTTGTGTACTACAGACCTCACAGGTTGGCTGTGTTTAGATCACAAATGTGAACTTTCCCAAACAAACAAGCAAAAAAAACCCCATCCATTTGCAAAGACACTGTTAATAGTATGTATAGTGGACTTAAAAATAACATACCCTGTTGTGATAACATATTGTACTTTTGTTTTCTTTTTCCAGTGCCCCCCTCGATTTCTGGCAGCAGTAGCATGGTTAGTGTGGTCATCAATAACGTTGTGAGGTTGGAATGTGAAGCCAGGGGCATCCCTGCCCCAAGTCTGACGTGGCTGAAAGATGGGAGCCCTGTCTCTAGCTTCACTGATGGAATTCAGGTATCCTCTTCCATTTATTTGATAAAGTCTCCCATTTAAGTACTCAACATGGAAAGTACCAAGAGTAAATGCTTTTGGATTTGGAGAACAAGGATTAAAACAAGTGTTGCTTTGGGGTAGGGGAAATCATACATATGTACTTACAAATACCATGGTCACACAGTTGGAATTTCTAAATGATTCATGAAAACATGTGCATGTTAAGTTTCATCTGTGGGCTTAATCTACCTGCCTTCTACCTGCCCCCACCATTTCCTGTTTCTACCATAAAAGACAGCTTCTTCCCACTGCAAGGAATGGTTTTTTTCAGGTAGTATTTATATTCCAATATTTATAAATATCATGAAGGTGAGAAATACACAGAGACTATATTCATTAACAAATGCATCAAAGAATAAAATTTTAAAAATATAATGGAAACATTATGAAAAATGAATTATTTGAGTCTTAGGGAAAAATTAAGTACATTATATTGACCTGAGGTTGAAAGGATAGAATTCCTGTTTTGTTCTGCTTAACTTTATTGGCCTGTGTAGGTTGTTTATACCAATCCTCTGTGGAATAAGTTGATACATACCATTTTCCTATTGTTCAAATGATAATTGGCATTTTTAGAAGAAATGTATTTTTAATTAACATATGTATCTTGTTTTGTTAGACTTAATGCAATTGCCCACTTAATATACACTAGGATAATGTAAACATAACTTTAACATACAATAAAAAATATTGTGTGACTTGCTTTATTAGAGCGGTCTGGAACCAGACCCCAAGTATCTGCGAAGTACATCTCTATAATTTGAGGTATCATTTTATTTTGCCTAACAGAGGATGTAGTTCACCTAACATGTATTTCTCTAGGTTTTAAAAAATCTAATCTTTCAGAATTTGGAATCATAGAAGATCCATAGTTATTGTCAATATTTAAAGGAACACTGGAGCCATGATTTCAAAGGAGAATAAATGTGGCTAATTAGTTTGGCTACTATTTTGTTGTTTATTATATCTTATCTATTTGTTCACAGTAAAATTTGGAGAATGACTTTGTTGTTCCCACTTCTCCTTTCTGTCCCAGTGGCTTTTTCTGTGTGTTAAATATATAGAACACTTGACTTTTACTGTATGGGGTATATAGAGACTGGCTTTCAATGGTTATTGCCAAGTTTAGTTCTAGTCTCTCAGATCTTTCCACCAAGAATACAAGAATGATATTGTATGTGATAATGGCCCACTTTAATCATACAAGCAGAGATCTTTCAAGAGGAAAATGCCAGTTTATCACCCCTAAAAAATTACGAGGTACCAGCTGCCAGTGGCTCACACCTGTAACTCAGGAAACTGAGATCTGAAGATGAGCGCTTGGAGCCAGCCTGGGCAGGAAAATCTGTGAGATTCTTATCTTTAACCAAAAAGCCAGAACTGGAGCTGTGAGCCAAGTGGTATGGTGCTTGCCTTGAGCACAAAAGCTCAGGGCTAGCACCCAGGCACTGAGTTCAAGCCCCAGCACACAAAGAATAATAATAATCAAATGGTAAGAGGAAAATTACAGCTACCAGTTGCATGGGCTATGTTGGTTATTTATTTCTCATTTTCTTGATAGGTTCTGTCTGGGGGTCGAATCTTAGCATTGACCAGTGCACAAGTAAGTGATACAGGGAGATATACCTGTGTGGCCGTGAATGCTGCTGGGGAGAAACAAAGGGACATTGACCTCAGAGTCTATGGTGAGACATGTTAGCGATTATTTCTGTTCTGAAATCAATGTGTTTGGTTCTTAAAGCCGCAGAGGAAGTTAAGGGCAGTTGTTGAGAATAAGGAAAAATAAACAATGTCAGATCAGTTCAAATCAGATTGTCTTTCTGCTTTCTGTTCGACTTGGATTGATGTCTCCTTTTAAAGGCTGAGATAATAAAACATCCAGCCTGTCAAGAGTAGGTTTTATAGAGGAAAGACAATAGCTTATCAACTGCAAGACAGGAGTTCACAAAAGCAAACGTCTATGAAAGGAGCTTTCTCCGTCTGTGTACTCTAAGCCATGATTTTATTACTTTTAATTATACTTGCAGTCAGCATATTTTGTGGTCTACATTCAAGACTATTTGAGAAATGAAAGTTAAACCAGGACATAAATGTATATAAATTCAAGAATTTTTTTCGACCTTCAGTACAGTCATATTATCTGCAATGCAGCGTTACAGAAAAAGTCCCCCAGAACAAAGTTGGGGCTTCCTTGAACTCCACTCATTCATCACCTTTGACACACTCTCTTGGTATACTTTGATGTTTAGAATTCTTTCAGACTTCATTTAGTACTTCTTCACATAATTTATGTAATTTGTAAATTTTTTGGTTCATGGACAATGAAATTTCTTCAATGATCCTCCTATACAATATATATTAAATTCATTCTGTTCATTTGTAACTGTCCTCACTTAAGCAAATGTCTTCCTATGAGAAATATGTAATTTTTAACCTCCAGATCATATAGACCATGTTGAATTCTTTTTATAATTTTTTTTGGTCGGTCGTGGGGCTTGAACTCTGGCCTTGGGTGCTGTCCCTCAGCTCTTCAGCTCAAGGCTAGCACTCTACCGCCTCAGCCACAGTGCCACTTCCAGTTTTCTAGTGGTTTATTAGAGATTAGAGTCTCACTCACGGACTTTCCTGCCTGGGTTGGCTTTGAACCGCGATCCTCAGATCTCAGCCTCCTGAGTAGCTAGGATTACAGGCATGAGCCACCAGCACCCGGCTCTTTTTATAATTTTGAAGAACACAACCATAATGATTAAAAACAGCCAAAACATTAACTAATTAAATTTTCAGTAACTAGGTCCTTGGTTATAACTTAGCATGTTAAGATTAAAAAGTCCCAGTTGGCATTGCCACATTTCCAAAGGGGTTGTTCTCTGGGTTCTTGCTTTGATATTCTACTACAATAAATATGGCTCTATACTCCATGCCCAGATTTGCTAATGTATTTCAGATATCAGGTCTATAATATCCAACCCCAGGGATTCTAATTCTGCCACTGAATTGGTTCTCTGTTACCCTTTCTAAAGAATTAGAAGATGGTCATTCACAAGAGAAAACTGTCTAAATACCTGACATACTTCCTCCTTCAGGCATTAGTAGGCAATAGCACTGTTGACTGGATTTTAGTCAACAATGAGTATCTAGCCTTGGTTCATTCCATTGGTGCACTTCATTTGATTAAGAGTGAGTCTAGGGCTGGGAAGATGGCTCAGTGGTAGAGCACTTGCCTTGCATGCCTGAGGCCCTGGGTTCGATTCCTCAGCACCACATAAGCAAAATGAAAAAAGCCGGAAGTGGAGCTGTGGCTCAAGTGGTAGAGCTCTATCCTTGAGCTGAAGAGCTGAGGGACAGCACCCAGGCCCAGAGTTCAGGCCCCACAACCGGACCCCCCTCCAAAAAAAAGAGAGTGAGTCTAGGAGATGGTAGAGAAATAATATCTTCCTGGAATGATAGAATACACATCATTATATCATTTGCTAAGTTATTTCCTTCCTACCTCTTGAGACTAAAGATTAAAAATTTCCGCTGGAGGAAGTGGCGCTGTAGCTCAAGTGGTAGAGCGCTTGCCTTGAGCTGAAGAGCTGAGGGACAGCACCCAGGCCCAGAGTTCAAGCCCCACGACCGACCAAAAAAAAAAAAATTTCCGCTGGTATAAAAATGAAATGACTACTTGCTATATATATGTACTTTGAGAATTTGAATAAGCATTTAACATTTGAAATACATAATCAACAAACTTCCAAAGAAGTTAAAATTAGAAAGATTTTTTTAAATATGAAATTAGTTTTTCAACCTATCCTCCATTAGCCTTCTTTCCATGTGTTATATTCTGGGTTAGTATCTTCAGAAATCTGTGTCTAGTTGGAGTGTGATGAATGCTAATTCACAGAGGTAAGTCCCCTTGAAATTTACATGGTAGAATGAGGGAATGAATGGTAGAAAGAGGTTCATAATAGGTGAAATAGCTTTCCCTATCATCATAAAAGCAGTTCCTTCAAAAAACATTTTCCCTGTTATACATTCAGAGTATATTCTACCATATTCTGATACTCTGACACAAGAAAAATGAGTTAAATGAGTTAACTTATACACGTGTGTGTGTGTGTGTGTGTGTGTGTGTGTGTGTGTGTGTGTGTGTGTGTCCTTTAAATTTCAGCTCAGGGATTTCATAGCCTTCAGCATCTCAGCAAATATAGCTCTATAACAGTTCTGCTTCAAGTAATTAAATTTAACAGGTATAATCTGTACAATGAGAAGTCATTTCAAAGTACATCTTTTCCTAACCTAACCAAACGGTAAAATATCTAAGAAAGTTGAAGCCCTAAAGAGTGGGACCTTGTTCTCATCTTAGACTGAAAAAAAAAAAAATAGATTTTGGTTAACGAATGCTCACCTACATTAGATTTGTTTTACTTTTTACTCCTTAAGTATTCTATGTTTTTTTTTCTCTCAGTTTTAAAATTCTAGTGTCCTTTTGAATTGGGTTCAGCTCATTTAGCAGTAAAGAAAAGTAGCTGAGGAAAAATATTTGGAAATAGCATTCTGCATTCTTGGCTTGTTTCTAATGTTCGCTTCTGCAAACACTCATAAGGAAATATGTTCTTTTATAAATTCTACAAATAGTCTAAAATAAATGTATTTTATACAGTTTTAAATGTTTTATCCATTAAGACCAGATTTAATCCCCAAATTATTTCCAAGGTGTAAAATCAGCTATTCTGTTCTGGGATTCCTATTCTCTAAAAATTGTGAATAGACTTTGTTTTCCTGATACCTTATAAAGAAAACCATTAATTGTGCATATGTTCAACAGACTAGCCACATACCTTCTATCTAGTGTGTCACCTCTCAAAAACAATTACAGAATTTTCTAGTCCTCACAGATTGCTTTAAACTTATTGCAAGCCAAATATCTATGTGTACTGTGAAATTTCCTAAAGGAAGTTCTACTGTTATGTTCCAGCTATTATGGTACAGCTTACTTCGTCTTCTAGAATCCATTCCTTGGGGTTAACCATAAATCCTGTACCCAGCAACAAAACAGGAATGCGCCCTTTGGCTCATAACCCTTCCCTCTGAAGCAGATACAGTAGCAGAAAACCTCATAGTTATACAAACACAATGTTCCCAGTCAAAGTCTATTGCATTCATTGTCATCTTACCACAGTCTGGGGTATTGAGCCTGAAGCTGTGAGTAATAGACTATAATAATATTCCTTACCACAAAAATTTTATGTCTACCAGAGCATTTGGGAAGTCTCTTAGGAATCATTTGAATGCCACTTAGACTTCCTTATGAAAATAAACTAAACAATAGCAGCAACCTTTCCCCCCCAAAAAAAAAGTCTACAAATAAATTTCCTACAATTCTGAGTAATTAAGGGAGTTAGTGAGAAGTGGCCAAAGCGATCCTTTCAGAACTTTCTTTTTTCTTTTACAATGCCCCTTTAGGACAACCCTGACTTCATTGTTCCTTTGTCTTTTCTGAATTATTATGCATACAGATTGGAGTCCTTGCTTTCTCATTTTTGATAGCACTAAACCTTCGCCATCTAAGACAAATGATCGTTTATTCTTGAATTCATCCCAGAGGAAGGAGAGTCTTTAAACTTCTCCAAGAACACATTTCAACATCTGACAAGCCTTGTAGCCAGGGAATGCTAATTTTAATCTCATTAAAATTTCAACTCATTTCCTCCTGTTATTGAATTGGGAGTATGCTAGACAGCTGGTCCCTGATGCAGCTTGCTCTTTTCTGTGTCACTGATCTCACAGTCCCCATTCCCTAGAAAGTTGACAACGCACCATAAAAACAAAACAAAACATTAAACTGCAAGTCAGAGGCTCCAGGCTTTCCCATCAATCAGTTGTGTTATTTACTTAAGCTGTTACCTTTCACCTACTTTGTGTTTTGCACACTGAGAGATGGGACCAGATGATCTTCATATATTCTTCCAAACCTATTTGTGTTCATTTTGCTTCTATCGTTATGAACTTTATTCCCCTTGCAAAAAAACCACAAAGAAATGTTAAAAGCATATTTTCTCTTATTAATTCATGGTCATTTCTAAAATATTTCATATGTGATTTATTACTTTGAAAACCTTAAGCAGTAGCTACTAATTCTGCAAGTTTCTGGAATGCACACTTGGTGAGAACTTCCAGTTCTAAAAGTTCTTTAAATAAAAAGTTAGTGAGAATGATTTGTGTTCCACAAGAATCTGTTGGTCAGTGATTTACTTATCTTGATTCTGAACCCAATGAAGCAAAGAGGGTATGCTAGAACTACCATGATCCTCTATGTTAAGATAACTAGTAAAGTTATGAGGGTGTGTGTGTGTGTGTATATATATGTGTGTGTGTGTGTGTGTGTGTGTGTGTACACCTCATAACTTTACATATAGATATATGTCTATATCTATATCTATATCTTGATGATTAGTGAAGATAAATAGTGTGCTGGCCTATTTTATTCTGAGGGAAAACTCATTTTTCATTTAGTTCCACCAAATATTATGGGAGAAGAACAGAACATCTCTGTCCTCATTAGTCAAGCTGTGGAGTTGCTATGTCAAAGTGATGCTATTCCCTTACCTACTCTGACCTGGCTAAAGGATGGTCGCCCCTTACTGAAGAAACCAGGCCTTAGTATCTCTGAAAATGGAAGTGTGTTAAAGGTAAGGCTACAGATTCATTTCTTTGGATATTATTACTAATCATATGATTTTGGTGTTATTCCTATTTAAAACTTCCCTGTCTTTTACAGTGTCTCTAGTTTCACCTAATAAAATTCTAGGAACCCTTTTCTTAATGAGGCTGGTAATATTTTTCAGTTTTATGCTTAGTGAAATTTAAATATTTATTCATCTATTTATACTTGTAAAGAGAAGTCATCTCAAGAAATGTAGAAATATTTCAAGCAGTACTTCATCTTCACTCATTGAACCATCCAGTAAATATATATTCAATGATTTAGATAAGGATGCAAAGTTGTGACATGTCTCACATAATGGATGCCTTGAGACGATATCAATTTATGAAAACTTAGTTAACAGCTGTAAGTTCTATAAGTTTGGGTTAATTGCCAAGTAGATGGAACAGACAGGCAATTTTATGAAGACAAGCAAAAGTGAGATGCAGATGACCTGGAAGTGTTGAAGTCTGTTTAGCATTCTAAGCATAGACAGGACCGAAGACCTGATTAAGCAAGTAAGTTAGTTTGGCTGAAACAGAGAGAACTTCACAGAGTGGATATTTGAAATAATATTGACAATCCATATCTGCTTGAAATAGAGCTGACATTAAAAGCCATCCTAAAGAATTAGGGTTTGGGAGGGCAAAGGTCTGAAGGTACTTAAATCCTCCTGAATGTTTATAACATCCTCATGATAACCCTGCTGAGTAATTAAATGTATATATGACTTGGAGTTAAACACAAGGGTTTTAGCTTCAGAATTCATACTGCTAACTACACATATTCTCTGACTGAGGAAGCTTATGACAAGTCTGAGTGGCAATAGGCTGAATGACTTAACTGTGGTGAGTGGACAGAGCATGAAGTTTTTTTTTGGGGGAAATTGTTGTTTTTTTCAGTTTTGCCCCATGGTTGGACTTGATTGGGGGGGGGGGAAGGGGGGGATTGGGGGAAAAACAAAAAAAGGAAATCACCACCCTGTGCTTAGGTGTAGAGCCCATTGCTTAAGATTGGGCTCTTAATCTCTCTCTCCTAAGATTCTAAATCTTAGAATGACTAAGGGAGACAATTGTTTAAGCACAGAACCTGTGAGTATGGGAAGTTTGTGTCTTTTTGTTGGTGAAAATCCATTGTTCTCCAGGGAGCTACTTCAAGCACCTAGGCAGGCAGGTCCCGGAGAGAAGAAGAGAGAAGATCTTTTCAGTGAAAACTTCGGTACTACATACTACTAATTGGCTAATTTAAACTATTTGCTATACACTCCCAATATTAGTCATACACTTCTGTAACCAGATCAGATAGGAGACTCTTGCCATTTTTGTTTTGCTTTGCTTTCCACACCAACATTTAACTCTTTTTTTTGAGGTGTGCAGGCTGTGCTGACTGGTTTTCAGGTCCCGTAGCCCCAAATTTGATTGAGTCTGCTACTAATTATGTGAATTTGGGGACATTTAGATCTTTTAATTGATGCTGTTTTCCTATCTTTAACATGATAAGGTAGGATATTATTAAGTTTCTTTCCACATCTCATATTCATTAGTTTTCTATTTAACTCAGTTGTTCACAGTTTGTTCACACCAATTCATTAGTTTATTGGATACCTGCTGTGCTACTTTTAGTGATCACTTATGCTATGTTTCTCGTTTTTCACCATTACTGGGGTTTGAGCTCAAAGCCTCCCTCTTGTTAAGAAGACATTCCACCGCTTGAGCCAGCCTTCCATCACTCTTCTTCTTTTGAATGTTTTAGGAATTATTGATTACAAACTTACTGTGGAGATTAAACCACATGATGTTGTGGTATCTGCTGTTTTACCTTGTATTGTTACTTATACCTTGCTTATTACTTACCTCTTATGTTCACAAACTTTACATTCTCACCTAAATTGTACACTCAAATCCAAAACTGTATACTTCATAGTATGTCTTGCTTTCTTCTGCCTTTAGTACTTAGGACAAGGCTCATAGGTCCATTATAACTATTACATAATTAAACAATACTAAAAAAGCATGTTAAGGCACTCTGAACAATGTATATATATATATACATATATATATATATGTATATATATTCTTTTTACTAACACTTATTTACCGATCAGAGTACCAAACTGGATACTAAGAGATCAAAGCTAATTGAACTCTCGCTTGAAGAAGCTTATGAGCCTGGCATGCATGTAATAAATCAATAATTCATATATTATTTTACCAAACATTTCCTAGATATATAGTAATGGAGTTTGTAAAGTCCTTAAGAATTCACTGATAATTTTGATTTTTTTTTTATTTTTCCTAAATTTTGTTAAAGGCCTTTCTAGGCTTTCAACCACTGATAAAAGTTAGGGTAAAATAAGTTATGACTTAGATGAAAATTTCTGAATCTTGATGTGTTGAATCTGAGTGATGAAATTCATTTTATGAGTCTCTCTACATTTTATAGACTCAAAAGTCTCAGAATAAAAATTAAAAATTACAGAGATCATTAACAGAACCTTCTTATTGTGAAGTAGCAATTGTGGTTCCAGAACATGATTTAGTTTTCTTCTCAGATTGAAGATGCTCATGTTCAAGACACTGGTCGTTATACTTGTGAAGCAACAAATGTTGCTGGAAAAACAGAGAAAAACTATAATGTCAACATTTGGGGTAAGTAAAATTGACCTTTGCAATACACAAAGTAGACAGTATTTGGTTGAATCTTTGATTCATTATGTCAATTCCTAAAATGACACTTAACTATCTAGATGAAAGTTGAGTATTATGCACACATAGATAACCATCAGTGCATTTAGATGACACAGAATTATCTTAATTGCCAACCCAAAGAGACAACCCAAGAGCAATAATAGATCGACTTCCTGGGCCTGGAGATAATTAGTCATTGTGTAGAATTAGCTTTTGTGTAGAAAGGACCTTGTCACCTATCCATCTTCTATAAATAGGACCTTATACTTATTATACCTTCTATATAAAACAATTTTCTTGTGTATTTTAAATAGAAATCCTTTGTCCTTGCATTTAAAGTATTACACAAAACTATAAGACTTGAAGCAGTGTGAAAACTGTATTTTTCTTCATTTCCTTTCAGTCCCACCAAATATTTATGACTCTGATAAACTTGCTCAACTTACAGTCATTGAAGGGAATCTTATCAGTCTTTTGTGTGAATCGAGTGGTATTCCACCTCCAAATCTCATCTGGAAAAAGAAAGGTTAGTTCTCATCCCTGGAATGTTTAAAAATTAAATATAAACATAAAATTAATATTAGTTTTGTCTGGCAAACATATCAGTTTATTTTTTTTTAATTTTCCTGGGGTTGCATGCTAAGGCTAGAGAGCAAAAGCTCCTTACATTAAATTGTAACATATGATTTTTGTATAATTGAAATGTTTACCATTTAACAAAGCAGTTTATGAATATCTTGATCCACGTCACCCCTTTCAATGTTCTCACCCATTTAGAGCAGCTGTAATTTTCAGGAATCCATCCACCATTTGTAAATGGTTTTTCAATATAGGTTTTCTAAATTATCTTCTAAAGTAAAGATTTGTTATGTTGTGACAGTCTTATAACATGTGCTAAGATAAAATTGTGTAGCTGAGTAGATTTCAATTCATGCATCCATCTTGTGTGCCAGTAAATAATCTAGATCTTCAGTTCATTTAAATTTTTAAGCCTCCATCATTTTGTGCACTGTGGCAGGAATATTCTCAAAGCGTGTCTGTCTTTACAGTTCTAGAGCCAGGAAGCAAATAAATAAGTCCACACACTTCTCTGAGCATGTGAACAAAGAACTATGTATCGCAGTCTGTCATCGTATTATTTTATTTCTCTGCAGGTTCTACAGTGCTGGCTGACTCTGGAGGGCGAGTTCGGATTTTATCAGGAGGCAGGCAGTTACAAATCTCAGTGGCTGAAAAGTCTGATGTAGGGCTTTACACGTGTGTGGCCTCAAATGCTGCCGGAACTGCAAAGAAAGACTATAATCTGCAAGTTCACAGTAAGTTCTTGCCTAGTCAAGCTCTGGACACAAGCCTCTTTTTTAATTTTGAAAAAATTTTAAAATTATCTGTAAGCAATTGTACAAAGGAGGTACCATATAACAAAGTGGTTTATTAATATAATACATCTTGATCAGTGTACACCCTTGAGCACTCTCACACACCCCCACTTTGACCCACCCCTTCCCAGTTACAAATGAATGAACTGACTCTATGGAGAGCTCAACTAGTATAATATTTTAGAAAGACTATGTCAAAGCCCAACAAAATCAACACCAGGAAATAGGTACATGAAAGAGAAATGTACATCCAAATGGTATATCCCAATAGGGGTGGGACCAAAGGGAAAGGGATAGACCAATGAAGTGGGGTGGAGGAGAGAACACAAGCTCCTTTTGAAGCTTTCCATCCTTCCCTTTTACTTTTTCTTTGTATTTTAAGATTACTTTATCCAGGAGACTGTGTAATTTCACTACACAACAGGCTGAGATCTGAAGATCACAGTTCAAAGCTAGTCTGGGCAGAAAATCTCTGAGACTCTTATGTCCAGTTAACTACCATAAAGGCAGAGATGAATTGTAGCTCAAGTGATAGAGTGTTAGCCTTGAGGGAAAAAAGGTAAAGGACAGCACCCAGACCCTGAGGCTAAGCCCCAATATTGGCATACAGATACACACACAAAGATTAATTCTAAGTACTATAACTTATCTGATGTCTGTCAACTGACCCACATCTTTAAATGTGCTGACCACACCAGAGAGCAACAGCTTAGTTCTAGCTACTCTTCATTCAGCAGTATGGCTGCTCCTTCTGCGTCATCTCAAAGGGGACAGATACACCAGGGTGACAGCAGATTAGTGGATGCATGGAGGGAGAAGAAAGACATTATACTATAGGATATATTCCCAATGTATAGCAATATTTTAAAGAAATAGTTGACTTGTATAAGATTTTTCTTAAAACATTGGCATTATCTTGTCTTTACCTGAGCTGTTAGAGCTGAAGAGCCACATCTCTTCCCTCTGTACGGCACATGTGTGTGGGATAGGACCACTTTTCTTTCCACCCACTTATATTTGAGAGTTGGCCTAATCTTTGTTTGTAAAAGTGTCATCTATCAGTTGCATTAAGCTAGGAAGAAACAGAAGGATAGATACTAGGAGAGGTTTCCTTGTGTGAGTAGTGGGAAGTCTGAGGTTGGCAGGTTGTCCTAGGAGAGAGTCCGCAGCTTATTTACATCCAGACAGGAGTTTCTGAGTTTTCCTGATCCTTCCCCAGTGGTCTGTGAGGCTGTGATTATCAAGTCCGCATGGAGGGCAAGAAGAGATGGTACCTTTTCCTTACCAAGAGAGCAAAACCTTTCCCTCAGGTCTCAGCAGCCTCTGTTTCGATATTATACGTCCAAAATTATTTTAAAAATATTCTTCTTGTTACTATAAAGGCAATGTTTGAAGAAGTTACAGTTTCATAACTCAAGTAATGGGTACATTTCTTTTTAGACAGTGTCACCCCTTCCCTTCACTTTCTATCAGATTTTCCCTCCTGTCCCCACTCCCCAGTTATATAGTTCATTTTCAACCTAGTATCTAGTGAGTATGACCACTGTGTTTGTTCCAAATTCATTCCTGTATCTGCTCAATCCCAAAGACTGAGAAACTGTCTCAGCTTTTCCAACCGCTAAAGTACATGGTGGAAGAATGGAGTTGATAAGCAGTGAGCCTATCATGTGAGGTGATCTGTTCTATATCAAAATGAATACTAAGAAGACCAGTAGAAAGCTTAATTTACAATTAATAAGTATAAATATTTAATTTTGCAAAAGTTAGAACACACAGCATTCTTTTCTTCCTATGCCAAAAGCTTTATTTTAGGTATAATAAACCCACTAAGAAACATTGATGACTTCTGCCTTTCAAATGCCACCTCTGAATCTTTTCAAAAGCTATGTTGACATAAAAATAAACTTTAATGAAAAATTCCTATGAGAGATCTGAAACAAACATTTCTTATCTTATTTTTTGTTCTTTCTCTTGCATCCAGTTCGACCATCTATAACGAACAGTGGCAGCCAACCTACTGAAGTTATTGTCACCCGAGGGAAGAGTATTTCCTTACAGTGTGAGGTGCAAGGTATTCCCCAGCCAACAGTGACCTGGATGAAAGATGGCCGCCCCCTGACCAAGGGAAGGGGAGTGGAAATAGTGGATAGAGGTCGCAGCCTTCAGCTGAAGAACACTCATGTATCTGACACGGGTCGTTATGTGTGTATAGCTGTGAATGTAGCAGGAATGGCTGATAGAAAATATGACTTAAGTGTACATGGTAAGTATTAAGTGGCTCAATAAGTCTACTCACTGGCTAGATATCATCCAGCTTCCTGGAAGGGAAATATATACCTATGATGTTAGTTATATTTATAGTCCATCCTTGTCTATGTATATATTACTTTGTCAGGTGAGTTTTATCATTTTTCCTTCTGTGCTTGACCTCATATTAACTGACCTTGCTGAGATAAGCACATGTTAGGTGTCCTTTTAAGAAATCACCCAGTAAAGTGTAATGTTATCTTCTTCAAGTGTTTTTAGTTCAATACTTTCTCAAGCAAAGTCCCTGGAGTATATTTTTCAAATTAGTTGTCCTAACTAAGCTAGTGTAAACACAGGTTCCACAGAGCTAAAGACTGAACATCAATTGGGAATGAGCTGTAAAGATGTAACCTTCCAACTGCTAAGTAATGTTCCATGAATTAGAAATTTTCTGGAGCAAGTATCTGGATGTATCCACTTTGGGGGAGGGAGGAGGGTCCAGTCGTGGCGCCTGAACTCGGGAGCTGGGCTCTGTCCCTTAGCTCTTCAGCTCAAGGCTAGAGCCCTACCACTTGAGCCACAGCGCCACTTCCAGCTTTTTTTTTCTGCTTATGTGGTGCTGAGGAATCGAACCCAGGGCCTCATGCATGCAAGGCAAGCGCTCTACCACTGAGCCACCTTCCCAGCCCTGTATCCACTTTTAAGTAGACCTTTTAAATATCTAGAAGCAGTAGTGAATTTAATAGAAACCTCTCATATACTTGAATTCAGTTGAGACATGCACAAAGAGAAAAAACAATCATTTAAATTATCTCTTTGTGAAATTGTATTTAACTTGTGGGAAGGATTACTTGTTTATTAGAAAATCCTGCCTATTATACAATCATAAACCCATATTATAAATTTATCAGGACAGAGCATGAATCATAGGAAATAGCTAACCTTGAGGGAGAAGGTTGGAAGGAGTGACACTGATGGAGATGCATTGTACTCCTAAATTGATAATGCTGAATCAAAACTCTTGTACAACTACCTAATGGTGTTGTTTTAAAATTTTAAAGAAATTCACTAATCATGTCAGAGTTATATCATGGAAAGAATTTATTGATTAGAGTGAAGAATAACCTAAGAAGTAAATAGATAGTAGCATAGTTTTGCTTATCATTGGCCAGAAACTGGAAGTCATCTTATTAGTAATAAAATGTTTAGAATTTAGGTATTTGATATATATTAACTGCATTTTTTATTTCCTGTTTGTCTTGTTTTGTATTATAGCCCCTCCAACCATCATAGGAGACCATGGGGTGCCTGAAAATATTAGTGTGGTGGAAAAGAACTCAGTATCTTTGACTTGTGAAGCTTCAGGAATCCCTCTGCCTTCTATAACCTGGCTTAAAGATGGGTGGCCTGTTAGCCTTGGCAGTTCTGTGAGGATTCTCTCAGGTACAAGGAATTCTAGCACCTTGACAATCTGGTTGGCTTCAGTTAGCCACAGTTTCTCTTAACTTTTTAATTTTAGTGTTTCTATTTTATTTTTTGACCTACCTGCTTATGATCACACCCATGAGTTTTATTAAGAAATACTTAAAAGGACCTGGGAATCTTTATGGAAGTCAGGAAAATCTCTATAGACTTTTTTGTTTTAGTTGGTCATGGGGCCTGAACTCTGGGTCTGGACACTGTCCCTCAGTTCTTCAGCTCAAGGCTAGCGCTCTACTTCTTGAGCCACTGTGCCACTTCTGGCTTTTTCTGTTTATGTGGTGCTGAGGAATCGAACCCAGGGCCTCATCATGCAAGGCAAACACTCTACCACTGAGCCACCTTCCCAGGATGGCCAATAGACACATGAAGAAATGCTCAACCTCTCTAGCCATAAAAGAAATGCAAAACAACATTGAGATACCACCTCACCCCAGTTAGAATGGCTAGAATCAAGAACTCTAATAACAACAGATGCTGGAGGGGATGTAGACAGAAGGGAACCTTACTGCATTGTTGGTGGGAGTGTAAACTTGTTCAACCACTTTGGAAAGCAGTATGGAAGTTCCTCAAAAGACTCCACATAGAGTTCCCCTATGACTTAGCCATCCGACGTTTTGGCATTTACTATCAGCCATCAGCATGACTATGTTTATTGCAGCCTTATTTACCATAGCTAAGATATGGAAACTCTCTATAGACTTTTAAGCACCTACAAAAATCTTGGCATTTACTTACTATTTAATTCATGGTAATGTCAAAGTATTTGTGCTATAGTAATCTGAAACATTAAAAGAAGTGTTGAAATTTAATAGCAAGTCTACAGAATGTCATATTTTATAACATTTCCCTAAAATCAAGTGTTACAGCTAATGCTTGGTTGCTTGGAATGATGTTTTAAGTTCCAGAATGTGGCATTTCCTGTGAACTATGATTTTGTTGTTACCCAGCTTACTATTCTTCTAATTTTGTAGGGAAATCTGAGAATACACACACACACACACACACACACACACACATATGTATATGCTTAGAAAAAGGTTTCATCAGGCACACCACCAGAATCTAGACTTGTTCATTTCTGTAATGATTTAGATACAAACTAAGATATACATTAGGAGCCTTTTAAAGTATGATTAATAAAATGCTTAGAATAATCACTAATACATTGAATGAAGGCATCTAAATTCAAATGTGCCTCATCTGGGAGGTTTTGAGTTAAACCTAGCAAGGTAATGGTTAAAGTCCTGCACTGATTACATTTAAAATCTATAGTGAAAATTATGGTGAGTTACAGCTTTCAAATTCTGAATCTAAGTAGATATCTGAATCACATTAGGACACAACGACAGTGCAATATGGTTATCAAGAAGATAAATGAAAATGTGGCCACACTCGTAAGATATATTTTCTAAATGAGAAAAATAAGAGAGCACCTTTAACAAGGGCATTGCAGACCTTATTAGGAAGATTAAAGAATTCTCTGGCAATATTTGCAAAGGAGAATAAGCATGATGGTAACTCATTGCAAAATAATTAATGTCCGATTATATTTGACCTGTAAAAATAAAGCTTATTTGTGTATTTGGTATATGATGAAAATTAAACTTAGATATTTGAACAGCCACACTATAAAAGGGATTATGTAGTTCTTTCTGGTTCCAAAGGTAAAAGTCACATCAACATATGGGAGGTCCTGGGGAGAAATTTGGGTCTGACTGTAAACAATTTAGAAAAATAGTTTATTTTAAATCAAAATAAGCTTCTCTAAGTGGTAATAAACTCCCTTATTTAACTCTGTTCAAACAGAGTTTAAATTCTAACCAGTGAAGGGTTTTTTCAGAAAAGATCATAGTTTAGGTCTAAATAACCTGAAGTTTCTCTTTTTCTTCCTGATCTGTGTTTCCTGTGTTAACTTCATTCAGAGTATATATTTGCATTAAGCACACATTAACTATAATGCCTAGTATATATGATCTCTAGCCAGTTACTTAAATTTGTTTAAATTAGTTTCATCACTTATGAAATGGAGACAGTAATCATATTTGCCTCTTGAATTTTTGTAAACATAATAAAGAATTGTTGTATATAAAGCAGTTAACACAGTGCTGTCAATGGTAAGCATCCATTGCCTATTAGCTATCGTTGTCAAAGACGTCCCAATAACAAATTTGTAGTCTCCCTGTCCTGGGAAATTTCTCTATGCCTTTTCTATGATGCTTGCATTTTCATAGTATCTTCATTCTTTGTTGTCCTAAAGAAATGCAGAATAATAGAAAAGATTTAATTATAATTTGGTTGCAAGAAATCTGAGCATATTATTTTCTTGCCTTAGAATATAAAATTTCAATTGCTGAGAAAATGTGAACATATTAAATACCATAACAATATCAGAAGTCTTGAAAATGAGAGTGGTAAGACAAAGTAATGTCCATTGGCCCGTTAGACATTTATAGGAGTAGTGTTTTGGTTCCAGTTACTTTTGTTTTGCTTAAAAAACAGCCTGAGCAAACATTTTAGAAGTGTTTTACCTTGTGATCCTGCCAATCAGCTTTACTAGCTATGCCTTCTGCAAGAGATGAATGAATGTCAGGTGAATGGCATATGAATGGATGGATCCTGATCTCTTGCACACTTCTGGCTCATTAAGATTAGTCCTCCTGAGACTACAAGTACTGCTTTTCTGTAAGCAGTGCTGTAGTGAAAGCCTTTCATTGTTATAAAGTTATCTGCCAAGAACAGATAATTGATATAAAAGTTTAATAGGCACAAGAAACATCTTCATGTAGGTATAAATTTCTGTTTTACTCTGCATTGAGAGGATCAGTAAATAAAGATCATGAGATTTTGAGTTTTGTAGACCCAGCATTGACTCATAAAAATAGTATTGCTTTGATATTTCTCAACTGGCATTTTAGTCTCACTAATCTGAAGTAGCAGTGAATGGGTAACATAAGAGTTTTCATTTTTACTGTTCAATTTCTTTATTTGCCTACCTAAATTCACCTAAGGGAGAAAAGACTGACTTTTGGTTATGAGCTTTGTTTGACCAAACAAGGTTCAAAACAGTTCATCTTTCAGTTGCATCTTAGAAAAGCTCCTAATGAGCCTGCTGTGTCTATGTATATAAACTGAAAGCAGATGAAAATTCTTCAACCAGATCTAGGTGAATTTTGAGATGAAAATTTCATGTTTAGCCATTATCATTTTTTAGTTCAAATTTGGGGTTCTAACCAAAACATAAAAAGAAAACAGAAAATTATTACAAAATCTAACACATGGCTAACATATTTTAAATGGTTTTCTTAAATGGTTTGTAGGACTCTACTCTCGGGGTGTCTCTCCTCTGCAAACTTTGTTCCTTCTTATATGTAGACTTTGTCTTTTTTTTGGGGGGGGGGTCCGGTCAAGGGGCCTGAACTCTGGGCCTGGGCGCTGTCCCT